GATCCCAAAGAACGTTTATCGTGTTAAGTGAGAAGTATATCATATAAATAATATTCACAATTTTATAAAAATAGATTTTATTTTTAATAACAAATTAATTAATAATAACATGTAACATGCATGACAATAATCAATGAATATCCAGTATAAAATGATATGCAATACAAAGAAATGGGTATTACGTTTCAATGGCTAAATAGCATTTTCTGTCAAGAATTCTGACGATTTATGAGGTATCCTTAACACAGACTTAAGTGAAACTTTTCACAGCGAAGAACAGAATTCCTCAAATTTTGGCGTAAGGTCGTAAAGTTGTGACAGTTCGGAATAACCCGCACAATGCTGGCTGGAATCTCCTAGGTAGTTAGATCTATTATATATGGTTTTAAATAAAAGTAACATTTAAACCAGTTCATTAGTCATTTCCTGGAACAATAAAGAATCTACCCTAATACTACAGAATTCACAATTATAGGCAGGATTGTATTTTGAGGATTAAATTTTATTATTAGACAACAACCATGTTCTCAAGACAGGCCCAAAAAAAACTCAACAAATATCAAAGCTGAATATTTTTGGAAGTAGTTTTAGTTTGTTTTTAGTTTTAGCTATGTTAGGGGGATATCTGTGTGTGCAGGTGACTATTACTGTGCATAATTATTAGGCAACTTAACAAAAAACAAATATATACCCATTTCAATTATTTATTATTACCAGTGAAACCAATATAACATCTCAACATTCACAAATATACATTTCTGACATTTAAAAACAAAACAAAAACAAATCAGTGACCAATATAGCCACCTTTCTTTGCAAGGACACTCAAAAGCCTGCCATCCATGGATTCTGTCAGTGTTTTGATCTGTTCACCATCAACATTGCGTGCAGCAGCAACCACAGCCTCCCAGACACTGTTCGGAGAGGTGTACTGTTTTCCCTCCTTGTAAATCTCACATTTGATGATGGACCACAGGTTCTCAATGGGGTTCAGACCAGGTGAACAAGGAGGCCATGTCATTAGATTTTCTTCTTTTATACCCTTTCTTGCCAGCCACGCTGTGGAGTACTTGGACGCGTGTGATGGAGCATTGTCCTGCATGAAAATCATGTTTTCTTGAAGGATGCAGACTTCTTCCTGTACCACTGCTTGAAGAAGGTGTCTTCCAGGAACTGGCAGTAGGACTGGGAGTTGAGCTTGACTCCATCCTCAACCCGAAAAGGCCCACAAGCTCATCTTTGATGATACCAGCCCAAACCAGTACTCCACCTTGCTGGCGTCTGAGTCGGACTGGAGCTCTCTGCCCTTTACCAATCCAGCCACGGGCCCATCCATCTGGCCCATCAAGACTCACTCTCATTTCATCAGTCCATAAAACCAGAAAAATCAGTCTTGAGATATTTCTTGGCCCAGTCTTGACGTTTCAGCTTGTGTGTCTTGTTCAGTGGTGGTCGTCTTTCAGCCTTTCTTACCTTGGCCATATCTCTGAGTATTGCACACCTTGTGCTTTTGGGCACTCCAGTGATGTTGCAGCTCTGAAATATGGCCAAACTGGTGGCAAGTGGCATCGTGGCGGCTGCACGCTTGACTTTTCTCAGTTCATGGGCAGTTATTTTGCGCCTTGGTTTTTCCACACGCTTCTTGCGACCCTGTTGACTATTTTGAATGAAACGCTTGATTGTTCGATGATCACGCTTCAGAAGCTTTGCAATTTTAAGAGTGCTGCATCCCTCTGCAAGATATCTCACTATTTTGACTTTTCTGAGCCTGTCAAGTCCTTCTTTTGACCCATTTTGTAGGAAAGGAAGTTGTAATAATTATGCACACCTGATATAGGTGTTGGTCTCATTTCAGACCACACCTTCTCATTAGAGATGCACACCTAATATGCTTAATTGGTAAGTAGGCTTTGAGGCCTATACAGCTTGGAGTGAACTAACGTATACAAAGGGGGATGATGTGGTCAAAATACTCATTTGCCTAATAATTCTGCATTGCTCCTAACATAAGCAGGTTTGTTGTCTAAAGATATCTTAGCTCTTAATTTAGAGCAAATCAATACACCTGGATAAAACCATGATATAACTTTAACACGTGATAATATCACATCAATATATATATAATTATTCTTAATTCCACCTGCAAGATGAGATAACATAACTACTACTTTAGTTAACTAAGATTTCTTAAAATCTGACATTACTTTATCCAGTCACCTAGATAATGCTATTAATACATTTTAATTAATTTAATTAAGTAGGCAAGTATAATTACCAGTTGAGTAGATATTTCATCCGATTGGTAGTCTCAGGAACTTATTTGGATGTCTCTCTGCATGGAGGTTGGAGTCCCCAAACTTCCAATTCCTCTCTCCTCTTTTTCTTTGCATATCTCTTGCATCTGCCTCTGTCTTGTATCCCCCTATCTTCCCTTTGTCTTAACTTTTAAAGGGCCAGACTCTCTATACGTCATCAGTTGATAACCCAATAGAAGCACTAGAGGTGTGGTTATCTTCCAGATCGCAATTTAGTTATTTGATCTATAGAGGGCAGTCTTGTCCCACTAAACATACCTATCCAGGAAAGAGTTAACTTTTCCTGGTGGCTATTTTGACGTCATTTTGCTTTATCTTTATAGTGCCATAATTTAAAATTTCAAAGGGTTTCTTAAATTTTGTCAAGACTTAGCGTCTGCAATTCCTGAGTTTTTCTGATATGGCAGATCATGAACTAAGTTTACCCTTTTCCATACAATGGTACCTTATATGTATAGACAGTTAAATTTTATTATTTAATCTTCTCTGTCACAATTGTCTGGGTTTAGATTTGATTATATTCTTCTTATCACTTGTTTATACTATGCTATGCATTCCTTAGCTCTGACAAAGTGGCTAGTCTTACAGAAAGAAATCTTGTGTCTTTTTTGTTAACTTGAAAATAACAAAATGGAGTCTGGTCTGTTCAGAGTGACTCAGGATATACACTTTTAGTTTCTATCATAGCACAAGATGTCTGCCGATATAAATACTCTGACAGCATTAAGCATCAGCGGGTTTGCTCTCCTCTGTATGGGCTGTGTTACTGACTCTAACCCCTTTCTATGTCATTAGCCATAGCTTTTTGCAGTCTGAACATGTCTATCATTATAAATAATGGTTAATAGTAAGTGAAGTAAAGTTCCTAAATGTCTTTGGATAAAACATTAACTATTGCGGTACTATCATTTATATTAATTAGGCCATAACAATTATACCACCCTGTAACTAAAATGAATAACCAGTAGTGGCTTGGTTAATAAAACATGTCACAAACCCTTCTAATGCTAAACCATCATTTAACGTAAAGGATGTTACTGTAAACATACGATCTGTAACTAGCAAGATTCGATTAAGCAAAGATACAATGTTTAAAATAACTTGCATTATTTGGCTGTTTCCCTTGTTGCTAGATTAATCTGGATAATCAGCTGTTATGCTCTTATATTCATGTCCAACAGATCTCATTTGTAGGTCACACCACAGTTGCAAATGACATTTTAGCAACCTTTTTTTTTTAAATTTTTTATTATTATCACGGACACATTTCTGATACAGGGAAACAAATGGCATGATTGTTTTAGTAATTATAATGTTTCTGTTCATAATATGTAGAGTGTAAGGAAAACAACATGTCTCTAAATAGGACGAGCATAATAGGGGTAGGCCTCATGATGGAGGCAGCCATGACAGGGGCGGGGAAGGAAATGATGGCAGGGAGGAAGTGAGGTGGGAAAGGAAGACAGGAGGTAAGGGCGGAAGTGACGTCACTTTAGAAGCAACCGTGACTGTAGATAGGTCACGGGACTGGCAGAGCCAACCTCCTTCTGTACTAGGCGCCATCTTTAGGGAGGTGGCTGACATACTTTCAACAAAACACTATATTACAACTAATAAAATAAGTCAGTTCCGAGATTTAAATACTAAACTATAAATAAACCTGGCAGGTTAAATAAGACAGTTGAGAACATTATGCATTTAACAGCCCATACAGCTGTCTCTAGAAACATGTACTTTAAAATAACATGATGCAAAATAAACTCACGGAATTCAACCAATTTCCCTTATCATCCTCCAACCATTAATCACTTTCCTCTTCACATACTAACTTAACAACTTCGCATATTCCCTCTATTCTTGTATCAGATTCACTTACCTAACCTCCGTAAATCAACACTGAGCTACATCCCTGACTCCCTGTCTTATACACCAGTCTTGGAGAGAATACTCAGAAAGGTGGAATGCATTCTTGTGAGCGAGCCCCCCCACAATCTTCACTGCCTTATCACAAAACACAATTTATATATATAGATAGCACCGTGGAATCTGCCGGCGCCATGCAAACGGCAACAATAATAATATTATTACACAATTATAACACCATAACCTTTGAATTAGAATATTTTCCAGCAAAAAATCCCGCCTCTAACTCTTATCAGCAGCTCCGAAATGCAGGCATGTCACTCCTCCATTCGGAGGCAAGCGGGGGGGAAAGGGGGGGGAATGTGAGACAGTGCAAAAGGGGGAGAGAGAGAAACTGCAGGCATGAAGATTAACCATGTGAGTGCCGTAAAGTAACAAGACAGAAGGACAGAGACTTATACGTTTGGAAACCAGAAATCTTTGACGGGAGAAACGGACTGGAGGTGCAGGGAGCTGCAGAGAGAGCATGAGGGTGACGAGATCTCTAGGACTGATAGGGGGGGGAGAATAGGGTTCCATCAGCATTCAGGACTGGGCAAACAGGGGTGGTGGTAGGGTGGGGACCAGGGGTGGGGACCATGGTCAGCTACATTTCGGTCATTGCTGACGCGATGTTGGGAGTGGTCACCTCCTGGGCGCCATCATGGGGTGCTGGCTGGGAGGACTTCCCAGTAACACAATTATTATAATACACAAACAATCTTAAACCTTTGTGATCAATTTCTTCCTCAACTTATCCCTTTTGCTGAATAGCTCTTGCTACTCGGTACCAGGCTTCTGCTGTACGAACCAAATCTTGGTCCGACAGCTTCCCTTTCTTCTCTGTCAGTAACTTACGCCAGCTCTCTGGCCACAATCTGCCGCACAGAGGTACGGTAATTCCACATACTTTAGCAATCTTCCTCACTTTCTTAACCATCTCTTCTCCTTCTCTGTCTTCCACTAGATCACATGCTAACCAACCCTTACTGGGTTTATCTAACTTCTGTCCCATCCTCCCTATATAAGGCGTCCCAGATATAGAGAAAGAAAGAAAAGAAGGTCTACAGTGCTCGACTGCTACGTAAGAGTGGGTTCCTACGTACGTCTTCCCAAAACGTAGACTAGTCACTAATTCCGCCTACCCGAGGTAGCCACGGAATTGGAGCGTGGCGAGAAGTGTGTGACCAATCACTTCTCTCAACAAATAGAAATAAGAGGGGAAAGTGTAAATAACACAGAGAGTAAGATAAGATCAAGCACAGGAATCTGTGTGACAGACAATTAAGACAACATTTCAAATAAAATACAGTGCATGCATCACAGTTCAAATCCCTTTCCTTTACTCGTGTGGCCTTAGCCACCTCCCTCAACCTCGTAGTGTCCCTGTTGCGGACCCACCCGCAAGTCTCACTACCGCACGGTGATGGAAACAGCAATGCCTGCCCGAATCCAATCCCACCACAACCTAACAGTGTCCGTATCCGCGGGCACTGAGAGGTTAACAGAACACTACCAGCGTCAGCGCTCGAGGCTGAAGTGTCTCACCCTCTGCAAGCAGAGTAACGTGCACAATGAGGCTAGCCAGGCCCTCAAAGTGACACCCCGGACCTGAGAAAGTAGTGAGTCCACACAGACTTCCACCAGGTCCCCTCCCCTTTTTCCTTTACCGCTAGAGCCACCTAGCACCTAAAAGGGGTAAACAGGCACTCACACTCCCCGGGGACTAAGCTAAACACAAACCAATACAAACACACCCAGGCAACAGATAGTCAACATGCAGGTTAACTAGGTATCATTAACAATATAAAGACTCTGGGCAAGTTATTACCTGACTTTGATGTCCTCTCGGCAGCAGTCACAGACACTGGGAAAGGTCAATCACAGGGGTAGGAACATACCGGCTAGGTGCTGCAGCAGTCTCCACCGTGTACTCAGAGGTGATCAGGCTCTTTTCCTTCCCCCAGGATTTACCCCCCCCGCATCTTCTTGGACGGCTGCCTGGGCAGGACATAACCCAGAGCCCCACGTTGAAGGCGCCAAATTGTAGTAGATTATTTTCTGCAAACCAATTAGTTTGAATGACTATCTGTTCCTGTCCAAATTAAAGATAATAAAGTTGCGTGCACGCAGAAGTAAATTCACACTGAGACACAAGGTTCAGGTTAATAAAAGAACTTCGGAGAAGTTTAATGGCTTCTAACAGAAAATGGGTGCGCAGACCCTTATAAAGGCATTTTTACATCACTAAAGAATTCAAGATAACAGCAAATAAACACTATTGATTGGTCCAGGTGTTAAGTGGTTAGTTAGATGCCCTCCCATCCAGAGGTGATGTCATCCTTGACACGGGAGTGGACACAAGATGTAGGCGCCATCTTATTAGCACGAGGTGTTCACTCGATGGGAGGGGTGCTTTGGCAGCCATTTTGAGTAGTTAGTATTGTTAGCTTCAAGGTTCTTTTAGTAAATACACATTTTATTATTCAGCACATTTCTTCCTGCCAAAGCATTAGCTTAGATAATTTCAAGAATTCTATAATTCTACAACAAAGATAACCTCTGAAGAGTCATAAAGTCTATCATCAAGCCACAAAAAGCCAAGAGAGTCATAGAGACACATCTCTGCAAGGGCGATAGTCATCTAAAGCCAAACAGTCAATAGGGCTATAGTGTCTTTCATACAGCCACAATAACTAAAATAATAAAAACTTCATCATGTGCAAATCTGTACAAAGTACTAATTATGAAGTGCTGCCGTGAAGACTGAATTGCCTCCCTCAATTCAAAGCACCAGATATCAAAAAGAAAAAAAAAATGTTTCTCTGGCACATAACAAAATTTCCTATGCAAATATATCATCTGTGTTGTCACACAAAAGTGCAAGTTCCAACCAAATGGGGTCATTTTACCTTGTAGTTCATATGTTCACACTCAATACAAATATATAAGTTAGGAGACAGAGAGGAAAAACAAGGACACGTATAGAGTAGTATTTAAAATATACAATCAATTAATAACATAAGGTAGGCACTCAGAAGAAAATTACACAAAATAAATTGTACTAAAAGCGCTTTGCCCAATAAGGGCAACTTATCTCTAGATAGTCCCCCTTTTCGAAGCTTACAGTTCTATTTAAGCCAAGCACTACTTAACCTGTAGGAAATAGATTCAGCGAGGGCTCTTCTTTGGTGGATTAACTCAAGGAGCCTATATGTTTGCTGAGTAATGGTATCTCAACGCATTATGTCTGTGTTTCACGTTCTCACAGCTCTTGAGAAAGTTGAACAGAGATTAAATGTGTCAAGCTAATCACCAAACATGTAGGCTACTTGAGTTATTCCAGCTAAGAAGAACCCTCGGCTAAGTCTTATTTCTCACTGGTTAAAGGAACACTGTAGTGTCAGGAGTACAAACATTTATTACAGACACTGTAGTTCTAAAAACACATTTTAGCTCCCCAACCCCCAATGCCCACCGATAAAAAGTTATTTAACTTACCTTTATTCCAGTACCATGCCGGCATGGTCCGATTGGCCCACCAGAATACCGGGAAAATCCTTGGGGATATCGCCCCCTCTCCAGTATTTTCTAACTTTATCTATGACAAATGTAAATTTTTGGGGATCTAAATACAATAAGCTGTACTTCTCCTGGTGACTATAGCTTCCCTTTAAAATTTTCAATAATCGATGCAAGAGCAGCTGTGGGCATGGAAAGGGATATTTTTTTGTTGAGGGCTTGTGTGTGAGTATGCATCCCAAAGTCTCAATGTAAGAGCAGTCTTTGGAAGTATGTGGTCGGATTTATGTTGTTTCAATTTGGGTATCCATGCTAGCATGGTTATCGTGACATCTTTGTTTAATGGGCTTCTATTGGAGCCAGGGTAGAGATCTGAGGTGGTGGTATGTTTTATAGTAGGTGTTTGTGAAGCCGTCCGGTCTTAGTGATTTACCAGATGTTAAGGCTTGAATGGTTTGTAGTATTTCTTGTACGTGAACAGGTATTTGTAAGGTTTCATTTTTGTTGTTTCCAGGATAAAGTTGTGGACAAAAATATTAACTCAATTTATGTTAGTAAAATGCCTATTTACTCAGCATACCTACAATCAGCATTATTCAACTTTATATGTGATTTACCTAAGATGGCCGCTAGGGAGTTTCCCTTTGGCATCGAATAACACTAGTGATGTCCCGAACGGTTCGCCGAACTGTTCGCCATGGACGGGGAACATAAACATAAACTTTGACCCTGTACCTCACAGTCAGCAGACACATTCCAGCCAATCAGCAGCAGACCCTCCCTCCCAGACCCTCCCACCCTCCCATGTAAAAAGTCAAATGATTCTTAAAATGTTTGACTACTTGCAATAGTGGGTGTCAGGACACTCCTTGCACCAAAACCACTACAGCACATAATAAATACGTACATTATCATTTGACCACATATTTAAAAGTCGAAATCCCCCTCTTTGAAATAAGTGGTCTTATGTCTGATACGGAGGATTTTTATTGCAATTATGTTATAATTATTATTTTGGTCAAGGGTGAGATAATACATTACTATTAAAATGACCTACACTACCCATTGTGGAATAAGAATTTTTTTGTAGTAAAAAGGGGAAGTGTCGCTTCTCTGGAAATTATATCAGTGATTAAAACATTGACATTAACTTGTGTTAACCTTGTTTACTTTAAAGTCAGGCTGCCCAGAGATCAAAGGCATGAAACTAGGGAGTGAGGTCAGGAGGAAAGCCAAAGGTCAAAACCTGGGAAATCACAATACTAAAGGAAGGACAGGAACTGGTGAAGACAAAGGACAAATCACAAGAAGTCTATAGCAAGGTACAAGAACAACCAAGCAATGACTGAGGGAAATGCCTGGGTATATATAGTTGCACATGAATGGCCCCACCTCCCCATAGGCGTAACCTCCCGCGGCTATATAATGCACCGGATCACATAGTAAGCATTCCTTAGTTATCTGGCCCTCCCACCAGCTCAGATACTTACCCTCCGCGCCTATCACAATCGGAGGGCCTGCCTGATTACCAAGGCAGTCCTCCTGCAGCCAATCCAGCCAAGTCATGTGATCGCAGTGACTCTGTGAACACATGACTCAGCTTAGCTTGATTTTCAGGATTGGCTGCAGGGAGGCTGGAGAGAGAGAGAGAGAGAGAGATCGAGAGAGATCAGATCTGTATTGAACAATGTATTTATAATCAACTCTTACTTCAGGTGAAAGGGTTTTCAATCACCTTTTACCCATTTACCTTGGGTTGTCTACTTTTTGCAAATGGTATACCATGATGAGGGTAATTTTCATTCCTGAGTGGCCATTTGGTCTCAAAGGCAACATAACCAATCTGGCAAATTTGGAAGTGTAAAAACTGAAATGGGCAAGCTCTTTATTTGACCATGTAACTTCTGTATTTGTCTTATGAATACCTGGGATGGTAAGTCTTGGATTTTTGGCCAGTTTTGAGCAGAACCATTACATGTATGAACCTCTGAGACTGCACAAACGCCACGAAGTATCTGAAGGCATCTTCTCCATATGGCATAGTTGCACCGATGTTGTATAGCACAGGAATAATGTAATATAAGACTGTTCCTGGGTGGTTATGCATAAAAATGATTTAGAACAAGCCTCCCATATCTTCTCCCATTCTCTTAATTCTGAGTGACTGCTGTAATAAATACACCCACAGTATGTGGGTAACTTACAGAAAAGGCACTGATACTGGCACTTACATCAAAAAGCCTCTAATGGTTTTAGCATACAGGTAAGAAATGGCCTAACGCTTAAAGAGTTACTCCTTCAGTAATTTGAAATGGTTAATGTTAATTGTGTGCCGGAACTAGTTGCACCCCCAGCCAGGGCCAGTGCAAGGAATTCTGCCCACCCCCCAGGTAAAGATCCATTTTGCCGCCCCCTCATAAGATAGTTCTATTGTATCACAGGTTTATTCACTGAACTCCACAAGGAAACATAGTTACATAGCTAAAA